TGGCGAACTGGTTGTAGTCGGTGGCCGCCACTCGCACGGTGTAGCTCTGCAGTTGAGGGTAAGCTACAGGGTGGACAGTGCGGGGTCAGCCCTGGCTGGTTAGACAGAGCAGCTCCCTCCTCCCCCACCCCGCACAGGACGGCCTCTGTGCGGAGGTGCAGGGAGGCCCGTAGAGGTGCAGGGAGGACCCCATGCCTGGGACCCCAACCCCAGGGCCCGCTTCACTCAGGACTCACCCTTAATGTTGCCCAGGCTGAACTGGCCGGGCTTGGAAGTTTGGACAAAAGTTCTGACAAAGTAGTCGCAGCGCTGGTTCCTGTGGGAGTGGGAGAGAGGTGTGGGTGAGGGGAGACGCAGGCTTGGCCTCCCTGGGCTGGACGAGGTGGGAGCCAGGGTTGCCGCTGGAGGGGCTGGGATTCCGCAGCCCTGGGTCCAGCCCAGCCCATCCCCGCCGCAGCAGGAGGCCTGGTCTGTCCCTCTGTGCTCTCCGCGCTGCCCTGCCCAGGGCCCTGCCTCCAGCACCCACTGTCCTTCCGTCTGCAGGGCTGTCTCCCCTCGGCGGCCTTCCTGTACACAGTCCTCCCCACCCTGGGCCTCTGTCCTCTCCTCTTGTCTTGCTGTTTCCCTCTGTAACCCCTCCTGGGCGATTCATCTCGCCATGTCCTTGGCACCCGAGAGCCGATCTCCCCAAACCCGTCCTTCTTATGCCCCTTGTGCCCAAATGCTCCAGCCCCCCCTCCTCCAGGTACCAGAGCCAGAAACCCACAGGAGCTGGTGAGCCCGGCACCCCACCATTCCTCTTCCCCCTGCAACCAGAGGGGCCCTGTCTCCTTGCCAGATCCCTTGGGTGCCGGTGCCTAAGGCCCCAGCAGTGTGGTGCCCCACCCGGCCAGGCTGCTCATGGCTCGCGGCGGCTGCCCGAAGGAGCGGCTGTCTCTTACTCGGAGTCCGCCAGCCCCTGCCGTGAACCCCCTGCCCCTCCTTCCAAGGCAGATCGGTTCCCCCAAGGCCCAGCCAAGAGGCCACCCCCCAGGAAGCCCCCAGTGAGGTCCTGGTGGGGTTCCAGGCTGGGCCCAGGGACCCTCCTCCCACTCCGGACTCCCCTGCTCTCTGCCTTGTTTCCTGAGGACTATCCGTGCGCATCCCTCCTGCTGTCTGTGTGCGCACAGAAGGGACCAGTAAACGCTGACGTAATGAAGGAAGGAAGGAGGACACAGGTCTCTGAGTCCAGTGCTGAGGAGAGGATGAGTGACTGCCTGTCAGCTTGGGCCGTGACATCAGTCTGTCTCTCAGAGCCCCTCCTCCACGCAGCCCCCAGGTTCCCATGCTCCCGGGAGGTGGGGCTCTCACCTGAGCAGGGTGGAGGTGACATTGTAGCTGCGGTCTTCTTTCAGCTCGTAGTTGGTGGTGTACATCTTAAACTCTTTGTCTTCCTTTGAAATGGCATTCCCTGCCAGGCCCACGACGTACCACTTCCCCTGGAACTGCAGGGAGCCGGTGACAGGCCGAGTGGGCCGCAGGGGCCCCGACAGCTCTGTCCCTGCACCCATCTCTGGGCGGCTGGCTCAGAACCAGGAGCGCCTCTACCAGGGCCGCAGGACTCCTGATGGGGACTCGGGCCTGCACTGGGCCTGCGCTGGGCCTGCTCTGGGCCTGCACTGGGCCTGCACTGGGCCTGCACTGGGCCTGCTCTGGGCCTGCACTGGGCCTGCGCTGGGTCTGCACTGGGCTTGCACTGGGTCTGCACTGGGCCTGCACTGGGCCTGCACTGACAAAGCCAGCAGGAGCTGGAGGCTGTGGCCAGAGGGAGCGTGGAGTCTGGCAGGGATGGAGTGACCGCGGGCAGTGGGACTGAAGATGTCCCCACCTGGCAGGGACTGTGGAGATTATGGGAGAGAATGTGGACCTGGGCAGGTCAGCCAGGCTGGGGCGGGGGTGGGAGCATGGTTTCCATGAGGAGGCGTAAGGGCAGGCTGAGCTGAAACCTGGGCCCATCCCGTCCTAAACGTTCTCTAAGACTCGGCCCTTCTACTCCCACTGTTCCGGGGGTCCTCCCCACAGCTGCCCCCCAGGTTCCTTACCTGGTCATCTTGGAAGTTTGGCTGCAGCGGGACCCTGGACAGAGGTGGGGCGGGGATCAGGTTTGGGGTGGAGTCCCGGGCCTGGGTCTGCAGGGCCCCCAGTAGGGTGAGGCCCAGCCACAGGAGACCGCGGGGCATGGTTGCAGGGCTGAGGCAACTGGGCAGCTGCTGAGCCGGGCAGGTGGTGAAGGAGGAAGAGGCGAGTGAGGAGGCTGGCCTGGGGGCCCTATTTATGGTCCCCGTTCTCCCACTCCCCCTGGGGTGGAGTGGTATGTCCTTTGCCAAATTCAGGAAGGGTGAGGTGACTGCCAGCAACTCCTGCGGAACCTTCGGTGAGATTTCTGGCCCTTTCCCCATGGTCAGGATTGTGCAAGATGGAGGGGCAGGAAGGCCAGGGGGGAACCGGGGACTTTCCCCAGAGCCCCACACCTCTGCAGGGACAGGGGCCCCTGGCACACTCTCCTGCCCTTCCCTCCACTCCGTTTGTGTTCAGTGGCCCCGATCTGTCACCTCTGACCTCCAGGATCCCTGCTTGGGCCAAGGCGGGGAGGCGGGGGTGGTGGTGGTGTAGGGGCGGCTGGAAAGTGGGATGAGATCCTCCATACAGTGAATGCAGAGGAGGCCTCACTCCGACAGATGGTGGCCTGTTTCCTGGTTCTCAGAAGGTGCAGGGAAGGGTGGGGCACCTGGAAATGAACATTCCTGACAGGGAAGGACATAGTGTTCTGAGCTCTCAGAGGCCTCCCCCCGCCAGCCCTGGCACAGGGGAGACCCCTGTCTCAGACGCCCATCTGGAAGGGCCCCCACCTTCAGTTGCCCCTGCCCTCCTCCGTGTCCGATGTGCAGGAGTTGCCCCCCTGTGGGCCCCGAGACCCCAAGCCGGGCGCTCCAGTCGCACATAGGGCGGCTCAGCTGCATCTCGGAGCCGGGACAGTGAGGGGTGCGCACTGCTGGCCGGGGCTGGGCCTGCAGCCGCTCTCCACCTACTGCTCCGACACCCGGGGCTACGGCTCCCAGGGAGTGCAGGACTTGGCCTCGCCCTTGAGGGTCGCTGAGACCACCCACCATCTCTGGCCACAGCCTTGGTCTGTGCAGTCCAGCGGCCCAGGCCTGGGTCCCTAGAAGTGTTCCTGCCATGGCTGATCCCGCTTCGTCCTGGCGAGCAGGCTCATCACTGGGGCTCTGGCTGTCCCTGGGAGGAGGTGACGGGGCTCAGCCCCTGGGCACTGGCTCCCGATGCCACCGTGAGGACGGAGGCTGCCTGCAGTCTGACCTGAGGGGGAACTGGGGGTGTCCGGGCCTCAGGACACTGACAGGGACCCTGGGCTCTACCCGCCACCTGCCGCTCTGTGCCCCTCCTTCCAAGGCAGATCGGTTCCCCCAAGGCCCAGCCAAGAGGCCACCCCCCAGGAAGCCCCCAGTGAGGTCCTGGTGGGGTTCCAGGCTGGGCCCAGGGACCCTCCTCCCACTCCGGACTCCCCTGCTCTCTGCCTTGTTTCCTGAGGACTATCCGTGCGCATCCCTCCTGCTGTCTGTGTGCGCACAGAAGGGACCAGTAAACGCTGACGTAATGAAGGAAGGAAGGAGGACACAGGTCTCTGAGTCCAGTGCTGAGGAGAGGATGAGTGACTGCCTGTCAGCTTGGGCCGTGACATCAGTCTGTCTCTCAGAGCCCCTCCTCCACGCAGCCCCCAGGTTCCCATGCTCCCGGGAGGTGGGGCTCTCACCTGAGCAGGGTGGAGGTGACATTGTAGCTGCGGTCTTCTTTCAGCTCGTAGTTGGTGGTGTACATCTTAAACTCTTTGTCTCCCTTTGAAATGACATTCCCTGCCAGGCCCACGACGTACCACTTCCCCTGGAACTGCAGGGGGCTGGTGACAGGCTGAGTGGGCCGCAGGGGCCCCGACAGCTCTGTCCCTGCACCCATCTCTGGGCGGCTGGCTCAGAACCAGGAGCGCCTCTACCAGGGCCGCAGGACTCCTGATGGGGACTCGGGCCTGCACTGGGCCTGCGCTGGGCCTGCTCTGGGCCTGCACTGGGCCTGCACTGGGCCTGCACTGGGCCTGCACTGGGCCTGCACTGGGCCTGCACTGGGCCTGCACTGGGCCTGCACTGGGCCTGCACTGGGCCTGCACTGGGCCTGCACTGGGCCTGCACTGGGCCTGCACTGGGCCTGCACTGGGCCTGCACTGGGCCTGCACTGGGCCTGCACTGGGCCTGCACTGGGCCTGCACTGGGCCTGCACTGGGCCTGCACTGGGCCTGCACTGGGCCTGCACTGGGCCTGCACTGGGCCTGCGCTGGGCCTGCTCTGGGCCTGCACTGGGCCTGCGCTGGGTCTGCACTGGGCTTGCACTGGGTCTGCACTGGGCCTGCACTGGGCCTGCACTGACAAAGCCAGCAGGAGCTGGAGGCTGTGGGCAGAGGGAGCGTGGAGTCTGGCAGGGATGGAGTGACCGCGGGCAGTGGGACTGAAGATGTCCCCACCTGGCAGGGACTGTGGAGATTATGGGAGAGAATGTGGACCTGGGCAGGTCAGCCAGGCTGGGGCGGGGGTGGGAGCATGGTTTCCATGAGGAGGCGTAAGGGCAGGCTGAGCTGAAACCTGGGCCCATCCCGTCCTAAACGTTCTCTAAGACTCGGCCCTTCTGCTCCCACTGTTCCGGGGGTCCTCCCCACAGCTGCCCCCCAGGTTCCTTACCTGGTCATCTTGGAAGTTTGGCTGCAGCGGGACCTTGGACAGAGGTGGGGCGGGGATCAGGTTTGGGGTGGAGTCCCGGGCCTGGGTCTGCAGGGCCCCCAGTAGGGTGAGGCCCAGCCACAGGAGACCGCGGGGCATGGTTGCAGGGCTGAGGCAACTGGGCAGCTGCTGAGCCGGGCAGGTGATGAAGGAGGAAGAGGCGAGTGAGGAGGCTGGCCTGGGGGCCCTATTTATGGTCCCCGTTCTCCCACTCCCCCTGGGGTGGAGTGGTATGTCCTTTGCCAAATTCAGGAAGGGTGAGGTGACTGCCAGCAACTCCTGCGGAACCTTCGGTGAGATTTCTGGCCCTTTCCCCATGGTCAGGATTGTGCAAGGTGGAGGGGCAGGAAGGCCAGGGGGGAACCGGGGACTTTCCCCAGAGCCCCACACCTCTGCAGGGACAGGGGCTCCTGGCACACTCTCCTGCCCTTCCCTCCACTCCGTTTGTGTTCAGTGGCCCCGATCTGTCACCTCTGACCTCCAGGATCCCTGCTTGGGCCAAGGCGGGGAGGCGGGGGTGGTGGTGGTGTAGGGGCGGCTGGAAAGTGGGATGAGATCCTCCATACAGTGAATGCAGAGGAGGCCTCACTCCGACAGATGGTGGCCTGTTTCCTGGTTCTCAGAAGGTGCAGGGAAGGGTGGGGCACCTGGAAATGAACATTCCTGACAGGGAAGGACATAGTGTTCTGAGCTCTCAGAGGCCTCCCCCCGCCAGCCCTGGCACAGGGGAGACCCCTGTCTCAGACGCCCATCTGGAAGGGCCCCCACCTTCAGTTGCCCCTGCCCTCCTCCGTGTCCGATGTGCACCCCAGCCACTCTCTTTGACCTTAAAAGGAATCTTTGAGCCTTTGGTGACTGTTAGATGTGGGGGAGACTGACGGTGGAGCCCCAAAGAATTTTAACTAGGGAGGGGCAGTGCCCTGGATCACCAAGGAGTCACTGGGTAGACTTTTTTTAAAAATATATTTTATTGTTTTTTTACAGAGAGAAAGAGAGAGGGATAGAGAGTTAGAAACATTGATCAGCTGCCTCCTGCACACTCCCTACTGGGGATGTGTCCGCAACCAAGGTACATGCCCTTGACTAGAATCGAACCTGGGACCCTTGAATCACTCTCCTGCCCTTCCCTCCACTCTGTTTGTGTTCAGTGGCCCCGATCTGTCACCTCTGACCTCCGGGAGTCCCTGCTCGGGCCAAGGCGGGGGGGTGTGTGTGTGGGTGGCTGGAAAGTGCAATGAGATCCTCCGCACGGTGAATGCAGAAGAGGCCCTGTTTCCTGGTTCTCAGAAGGTGCAGGGAAGGGTGGGGCACCTGGAAATGAACATTCCGGACAGGGAAGGACATAGTGTTCTGAGCTCTCAGAGGCCTCCCCCTGCCAGCCCTGGCACAGGGGAGACCCCTTCCTCAGACGCCCATCTGGAAGGGCCCTCACCTTGAGTTGCCCCCGCCCTCCTCCGTCCCCATGTGCAGGAGTGGCCTCCCGCTCCCCCCGGGCCCCGAGACCCCAAGCCAGGCGCTCCAGCCGCACATGGAGCGGCTCAGCTGCATCCTGGAGCCCGGACAGTGAGGGGTGCGCACTGCTGGCCGGGGCTGGGCCTGCAGCCGCTCTCCACCTACTGCTCCAACACCCGGGGCTACGGCTCCCAGGGAGTGCAGGACTTGGCCTCGCCCTTGAGGGTCGCTGAGACCACCCACCATCTCTGGCCACAGCCTTGGTCTGTGCAGTCCAGCGGCCCAGGCCTGGGTCCCTAGAAGTGTTCCTGCCATGGCTGATCCCGCTTCGTCCTGGCGAGCAGGCTCATCACTGGGGCTCTGGCTGTCCCTGGGAGGAGGTGACGGGGCTCAGCCCCTGGGCACTGGCTCCCGATGCCACCGTGAGGACGGAGGCTGCCTGCAGTCTGACCTGAGGGGGAACTGGGGGTGTCCGGGCCTCAGGACACTGACAGGGACCCTGGGCTCTACCCGCCACCTGCCGCTCTGGACCCAGCACCCCCAGCCGGGCTCAACCAAGGTACATGCCCTTGACTAGAATCGAACCTGGGACCCTTGAATCCGCAGGCCGATGCTCTATCCACTGAGCCAAACCGGTTAGGGCTGGGTAGACTCTTAAAGCCAGGGAGTAGATGGCCCATGCTCCCTGGTATGAATTGTGAAGGGGTAGGACAGGGTCTGCAGCATGAAGAGAACGGGGCCAGGTGCCTGCAAATCTCTGCCCACCCCTCACCCCCTGTGATCACTGCCCAGGCCTAACTCTGCTAATTTCTGCCCACCCCTCACCCCCTGTGATCCCTGCCCACTCCTCACCCCCTGTGATCCCTGCCCACCCCTCACACCCTGTGATCCCTGCCCACTCCTCACCCCCTGTGCTCTCTGCCCACCCCTCACCCCTGTGCTCTCTGCCCACCCCTCACCCCTGTGCTCTCTGCCCACGAGGGAAGGGGCTTTGGGCGGGTTCTGAGCTGGTGGGTGGGCTGCAGCCTTGGCCATCCTGACCGAGAAGCCCCCTCAGGCCCTGGCCGGGCTGCCCGTCTGGGTGACGAAAGGGCAGGAAGTGGAGATGAGCAAAGCTTCCACAATGTGGCCACCAAACCCGCATGCCCTCCAGGCGCCGTGGCCACCCCCCCAGACCCTTCCCCCCGCCTCTCCTCCCCGCCACTGGGCCAGGCTCCACCCCAGCCACTCTCTTTGACCTTAAAAGGGATCTTTGAGCCTTTGGTGACTGTTGGATGTGGGGGAGACTGACGGTGGAGCCCCAAAGAATTTTAACTAGGGAGGGGCAGTGCCCTGGATCACCAAGGAGTCACTGGGTAGACTCTTAAAGCCAGCGAGTAGAGTGGCCCATGCTCCCTGGTATGAATTATGGGAGGGGTAGGACAGGGTCTGCAGCGTGAGCAGACCGGGGCCAGGTGCCTGTGCCCTCTGCCCACCCCCACCCCTGTGCTCTCTGCCCACCCCTCACCCCCTGTGATCCCTGCCCACCCCTCACCCCTGTGCTCTCTGCCCACCCCTCACCCCCTGTGCTCTCTGCCCACCCC